CTTCCCAGTTCTGATTCAATTTTTGTGTTTTTCAACTTCTGTGCCATTAGAATATTGATAATATTTTTGATTAAGGTGTTACTCTACTAAAGAAAAGTAAAAATTTCTAAGGTTTTCTTCCAGTCTGCTGATACCCATTGATGTGGCACTTTACTGTTTGTCTAAGCTCAGAGTTTATTTTTACTCATTTGAAACAGGTCACTGCAAGTTAAGCAATGTTTATTTACAGATCAGCAAGTTATAACCAAAAGGTTAATAGTGGTTTTCCTTGTTTGTGTTTGGATTACATGGTTCTTGTTTTCTTTGTAATTTTCTGTTTTCCAAAATTTCTACACAAATACATACAACTAAAAGTAGCCCTGGCTTCAGCTGTGGTTCATGATCTCCCTTAATCTCATCTTCTGCAGACACCTTATTTGGGGTATTTGGAAGCTGATTCATCCCTTTTCCTGGTGAACATGCAGCCTTAAAGTCCTCTCAGTCTGCCCTTTGCCCCTGGTTGGGCCGGTTTCTCTACTGACCTCCAGTGGCTATAAACTGTATGGCACTTAGCTAGAGCTGTTCATGTTTTTTTGCTGGTTGTTACAGAACATTCTACAATGCTGGTTGGTGCAGACTCAGCTAGCATGTTTAGAACAATTTGTAATTGCCCTGGAATAATGCAGCACTTGCTCCCAAATACCAGAACTACTCTTATCTGTATGCTTTCCATGTTAGAAATAGAGGAACTTTTATAAAATCTATTCATAAATGAGCCATTAAGAATACAAAAATAATTATAGACAATAATATTGTATTAGAACATCAAACTTGCTAAGAGACTAGGTACTGATTATCCCCAGAACACACAAAAAAATCATAATTACATGAAGTGATAGAGATACTACTTAATACTACAATGACAATTATATTACAATATTGCAATATATAAAAGTAACAAATCAACATGCACACCTTATACATAATATAAATATATAATATGTCAAATATATTTCAATTTTAAAAATTCACAAATAATTTAAAAAATTATAACTATGTATGGTGATAGATATTACATAGACTTATTGTGATGATCATTTTACAATGTATGTAAATATCAAACCGCTTTGTACATCTGAAATTAATATAATGTAGTATGTCAATTATACCTCAACCATAGAAAAAGAAAACAAAATCGTTGTAGCCACTACCACTTACTCTTCTAAACTCTTCCCATTTATTATGACCAGAGTATGTTCAACCTAACATCACTTTATAATAACTTAATGAATGAAATTAACATTTACTGCCCCCCCAACACACATAGAAGAATTCATGTACATTAAACGGAATTTGAATGTGAGCAGGTTTAGTCTGAGTCCTGAATAAATTTCTAGGCTTTCTTTTGTAACTTTTCTGCTTATAGATTTATTTTGCAGTTGTGTTTGTTTTGTTTTCTCATTTTGAGGAAGGGCATAGTTTGGGAGTGGGAAAAAATACGTTGATAGCAGTGGTCCTTATCTCAGAACCAGAAGAAGAGTAAGACCTTTCTGTTTAAAATGATCTACCTCTTTGTACTGTCTACCATGGATAATCATAGCAGGGAGGGACATTGCTGAGACAAGAGCATGAGGCATTTTCCTGGTTTGGAATCCTGCTGGGCATTAGTGAGGTAGGTAGGCAGACAGAGCCCATCAAGGAAAAGTAAGTGACCACTGAAGCAAAAGTACATGCTAATTTTCCAATCATCATGCTGTTAACCTTCTGAAATTTATAATTCCTTTGACATCCATTTTAACATTTGATCCATCCAGTTAATAAAAAAACCCATTTATTATACCCCTAAGTCATTCTTTGTTATATTGTCAGAATGTCACATTGTAATTATCTTTAAATCACTTTTGACCAAAGCTTGTAAAAAGTCACCTTTATGACTGAGAATATTGATCAATGTAATTTTAAGGTTTTTACTTCTTAATAATTAAAAGCCACCTCATTATGCACCATGTATGCTGTCATGGTGTTTGAGAATTAAGCAAGTATCTATTTCCTTAATAGTCTTCAAGTATTATTTGTTCTTTTGCGATCCATAACCAGAATTTTAAGCAACCTTAAGGTTGTAATGTTTGTGAACAGACTCTTGTTATTTCTGTCAGCACTATTTCAGTAGCTTCTTTGCCAGTGCTCCTGATTCTCTTCTACTACCCAGTGAATGTTTTTAAGGCCCAGCTCTACCACTAAGTGGCTGCTTATAACAGGTGGGATAAAATTCATACTTTGAACTTAGAAAAGAATAGTCCTAAATAAAGATGATTTTTTTTTTAAAGATTTATTTATTTATTTATACAAGTGCTGGGTACAGTCAGAAGTGCGGGAGGGTGAGAGAATTCACCAGAGCCAGAGCAGGGAACAGAACAGGCAGAGTGATGAAATACACTGCTGAGGGGAGCAGCAGGCGCGGAAGGAGAGGTCTGTCGTGTGCTGTGTGGGACCCTTGCCGGTGGCCGGGGATCGAACCAGCGCTGCAGAGGCTGTGGGTGGCCTCGCAGCCCAGCGCTCAACCACTGCGCCACCAGGGGAGGCCCAAGATGATTTAAGACTCTAGAGTTCATCTCTAAACATTTATTTTACTGCTAGTTTATGCATATTTGCTATCATCACACTGTTTTCCCTTTGTGTCCACTAATTTAAGTTAAAGTTAAAAGCATTGCATAGTCTTTAGTAGCTCCTCTTGCTGTCCATTTTCATACTTACCCTTAGGTCACAAATTAAAATGGATGTTTCTTATTAGCTTAGTTCCTTTTTCTCTTGGTGGTCTCGGATTCTTTCTACCAAATCCTTTAGAGATGTAAAAAAATTCTGTGACTTCCTGTTGGCAAGTTAGGCATCAGCCAGGAGAGTTTTAGCCTCACTAACATTGAATGTGCACATAAATTGGACATTGTAGGAGTACTTTCCCTTCACAGAGCTGATATTATTGAATTTTTAAAATTTATACTTTTTCCAATAGGATGGACAAAATGTTATCTGGTAGTTAAGTTCTTGATTACAATTGAGCATGTCTTTACATGCTGGCCATCTGTTTCTTTCATTAATTGATATCTTTAGTCATTTATTTTTGGTAGCTCATTTGTTGTTGGTTCTTTGTAAATCCTAAAATTGATAACTCGCTTCTAATATGTACCACAAATCTTTCTTGTAGTTTGTCTTAAAAATGCATGGTGTTCTTCAATATCTAGATGTTTTCTTGCACGTACAGCTTCAAAATTTCACAGATGTATTGGCCGTATGTTTGATGCTGATGCAGCCCTTTCCACAAATAGTTATCGTCTCCTAAACACCATAGGACATAGGAGATTTTACTCTTCCTGGCACAGCTCTCATCTTTCTATGCCACTCCTATACTCAGTGAAGTCCTCTAGGGAAAATTTATTGTGTGTCTTAGGGATCTTGCTGTTCACCCTTCCAGCCCAGGTAACTGAAAATGAAAAGCTTCACTGTATTCTCTTTTCAGCCTATGCAGGTGTAATCCACAGCTCTAAATCTACACAAGTTGCTGATTTAATTTCCAAGTAGCAACATAGGAAGCATATATATATATATATGCGTATATGTATATGTATACGCATATATATATATATGCTTCCTATGTTGCTACTATGTTGCTAATAATATTCCTAAGTAAAGATGATTTATTTTCTTTCCCATATATATATATGCGTATATGTATATGTATACGCATATATATATATGGGAAAGAAAATAAATCATCTTTACTTAGGAATATTATTTTCTTTCTAGAATTTCAGTTAGTCTTTATTGGTTTCATGGTCTCTGATGTCTTTAAAAGTATGATTTAAAAAAAAATCTTTTTTCCTCATCATAGCAGTAGCAGTAGATTTCTGCTATCTACTACATCCAACCTGAAAGTAGAAATCCTTTTATAAATTGCTTTTTGGGGCTTCTATGGACCCAGTAAAATCATATGTAAATAATGACATTTTTATTCCTTCTTTTCCAGTGTATTATTTACTACACTAAGAAATTCAGTATGTTATTATATCGAAATGATATCTGGCAACTTTTTTTTCTTTCTTGATCACCACAATATAGCTTTTAGTGTTTCATGATCAATTTGTTTGGTATGTTTGTTTATTTATTTAAAGATTTATTTATTTATGCATACAAGAACAGGGGTACAGGCCAGAGTTGCGCAGAGATTCACCAGAGACACAGTAGGAAACAGAACAGGCAGATTGGCTGAAATACACTGCTGAGGGGAGCAGCAGGCGAGTCAGGAGAGGTCTGCTGCGCCATGTGGGTAGCTCCCTGGCTGGGGATTGAACTCGTGTTGCAGAGGCTGCAGTAAGCTTCATAGGTTGCATCTTAACCCCTTGTACCACCAGGGAGGCCCAGGTATTTGTTTATTTAGATAGCCTCTATCAGGCTAAGGAAGTTTCTTCCTGTTCCTAGCTTGCCAAAATTTTTTGAGTGGATGTTGAGTTTTATCAGATGTTTTTCTGCTTCTTTTCAAGTTTTGCAACTACTTTTTTGAGTGAGACTAACATATTTTTCTCATCATTTCCTGAAGTTGTATAGTCTCTACAATGGTTGCATGAACAATATTATTGACGCCTTCAGTGTTTAGTAGAACTTGTTGATGAAGCTGTCTAGGAATTAAATTTTCCTTGTGGGAAGGCTTTGGATTCAATTTCCTCACTAGTTTTAGGACCATTTAGATTTCCTGTTCATCCCAGTGTAGTTTGGTAAGTTGTGTTTTTATTAGGACATTTTCCCTTTTATCTGAATCTCCAGATTTACTATCATTTAGTTATTGATAATATTCTCTGAGTTAAAATCTCTTGCTGCATTCCTCAAATTGTGTTTTTCCTCTTCTTGATTAGTTGTTAGGGATTTTTCAATTTTACTATCCTTTGCAAAGAACCAGATTTTGGCTTTTTTTTGTTTCTAATGTTTTAAAATAATTCTTTTTTTTGCAAGATTTATTTTTTATTGTATATATTTTTACATCATTTTTCATTTTTGTACAATGTATACATTTTCATCTTCCATGCTAATCTTCTCTGTATCGTCCCAATTTTAGTAAATGTGCTGCCGAAGCGAGCACTAAAAATAATTCTCAAAGATTAATGTTTTGTTCCTTATTTTTCATCCTTTCCCCGCTAATATAGCCATTTTAATGTTGTAAATTTCATTCTAAGTATAGCACTGGCTGCATAAATTCTGATACGTATTTTCATAACCATCAGTTAAAATATATTCCAGTTTCCCTTTGCGATTTCATCTTTGATCCATGGGTATATGGGAGTCTCTGTATTCTTATTATGAACTGTGTGATTTGCAGGTTTCGAGACCCCTTTTTTGGTGCCTCATACATTTGTTTTTGATAAGGTATATAAAAAGATATTTTTCATTCTCTTCTGTAATAGCCTAGTACTTCATTACATGGAGGTTCCATACTTTATTTAACCAGTCTTCTATTGATGGACATTGGTGGAAATGGTAACTTTTTAAAAGGCATTTGTCACATTCCATACTATGATACTGTAGCATTGATCAGAACAACTATCTCTCTGTCACCCCCTTGATTGCGTGGGTTGATTTCAGCTCATCGGCTGACTAGTCTGGTGTCCCCTTGTTCCCTCCCTGCTCCATGTGCTCCTGAAGCCGCATGCTTGTGTGGAAGACGATAGCCTTCCCCAATAGAATGACCCATTTTAGGTCAAGGGTTTATGTACGAGAAGCTGCACTTTCCTGCTAGGACCTCCAAACAAGCTCTCAGGGTCCATTTGTAGGAGAAGGTAGGGTAGTGCAGCTTGTAAAACTTTAGACAAAACAAATGAGATACTGCTTGCCCAAGCCTGACTTGGGGCTGGAGGTGGGGGGGATGGAATAGGTAGGGGAACAAACAGAAAACCTATTTAGCCTAATTTTAACAGCATGAAGCTTTTTTTTTAAAAAAAGATTTATTTATTTATGCATACAAGAACTGGGGTACAGGCCAGAGGTGTGGGGGGTGAGAGGATTCACCAGAGATAGAGTGGGGAGCAGACAGGCGGATCTACTCAAATACACTGCTGAGGGGAGCAGTGGGTGAGTCAGGAGAGGTCTGCTGCACCATGTGGGCAGCTCCCTGGCTGGGGATCGAACTCGTGCTGCAGTGGCTGTGGATAGCTTCATAGGTTGCATCTTAACCCCTTGTGCCACCAGGGAGGCCCTAGCAGTTTTTCATTTATACAATCATGAGAAAAATTTGTAATATGCTAGGTTTCAGTTTGTAGTATGCTAACGACTTTGTGTATCTTTTTAATTGGGAAGGTAAAATTCCTATTTATTATTTCTCTGGATTGTTCTTTTTTAAAAAATATAATTGACATATAATCTTGTGTTAGTTTCAGGCATACGGTGTAATGATTCAATATTTGTATTGTATGCTCTGGCGAATGATAACCACAATATGTCTAGTCAGTATTTGTCACTATACATAGTTACAAAAATATTTTTTCTTGTGATGAGGACTTTTAAGGTCTACTGTAACAACTTTCAAATATATAATGCAGTATTAACTGTAGTCCCCATGCTGTACAGTACATCCCCATGACTGCGTTGATGTTCTTGGTAGTAGGATAAATCTAAACCTTTGTGGCCTTTGCCTTAAAACAAGTATCTGTTTTTCTTAAAAGACTTATTTACTCCTTAATTTGTAATACTTATTTACTCCTTAATTTGTAATACCAACTTAATCATTAATTCTTTGCTCAGATAATTGAACTAACCATTTTAACAATACCTCAAAGGTGTGTTTTCTTGTTATAATCTGTCAGCTTGGTATAGAGCTGATATGTACACTAGCCTTCTACTTTAAGATCAGATTAATGTCTATATTAAATGTGTATGTATTAATATGTCTCAATATTTAAGATTTCTGTGATATGGTGAAGTAAAACATTCTCAGTCATCGTGAGCAGTAGTTACTTTTGTTTGCTCATATTTGTCTTCCATTTAAAGAATTTTAGTAGTCAAGGATGATTTCTCCATTTATAAATCCTCCATGGAGTTTACCAAAGTATTATAAAATCTTAATTATACAGACTTTCCTCCAATCCCACTTCTGAGAACTCATATTCCATCCTAACCTCTAATATGCCATTTTAACTTTCTTTGATTGCTTATCCTAGATAGAACAAAATGCAACTTTGACTTACCAAATATAAATACTTTTACCTCTTCCTGGGCAGTGCAGAAACCTTAGACTACTTCAAATTATTAACCTCCTGATTATCTGTCCCTTCCCCAGCAAATATTGCTGTTGCCATCCTGTGTTTTATATCAAACCCTACAAGGTGTTTTTCATTTTGATTTTTAAAACACCCTTATTAACATACAATAAACTGTACATATTTAAAATGTATAAATTGATGTTTTGACCTATATACACATTCATGAAACTTGTTAGCACACATATTTATACATCTTATACTGCAGTTGTTTCTACTATTAAGTCTAGAAAATTAAGGTGTTCCCTGGGATTCTTATTACAGTTTGTTTTTTATGATTTGTACCTACTAGAAATGGAGGTGGGGTCAGAAAATTTTTATGGTCTTTTATGCTACCATTTTGGAATTCTGTCCATTTTAGAACTCAGTTGAGGAATTTCACGTTTTAGGCATGTCATTGCTCACTTAAATCCTTCTTAGTCTAAAAATTCATTTATTTTTTTCATTCTCATACCTGACTAATAAGGCATTTGAGTTTTTCCAGTGTCTAGTAAATATTGATTTCTTCTATTTACCACAGAAAAATTTAAAGGCTCTTCTGTTCTGATTGAGCCTATATTTTAGTGATTGTCATTCTGAAAAATTAGGTCAGCATACACTTTTATTTAGCTTCTTATTTGGGACTCTAAGTACAAATTTTAATGAGTTGGTTTTCTTTTAATCTCCACTGCTTGAGAATATATCCATAAGTCATAATAAAAGGATTTTTTTATGTGCCCAGCTGAATTTTAGGTTTCTCTGTACATAAAGTACAATGCATATTAGGAATTATAAATTACTCTACTAGCATAGAATCTAATATTAGTTATTAACATTTGAGAGTGGTTTAAATGTAATTTTCTTTATTAAATGTGCTGAGATCCTCAGATAAAAACTGACTACAATGGCTATTTGTCAAATTGGGTTTTTATACATTCTGATTACTTAAATGTTCATCATATGTTTGTATTATCTCATTTAGTTCTTAAAACAACCCTGAAATTATTAGAAAATGCCCCCTAATTAACAGATGAGAAAAATTGAGGCATAAAGAGTTGGTGCAACTTACTTACCCAGCTAGTTTGGTATTAATATGTCTAGAGCTTAACACTGAAAAAGCATTATATGAACCAAAATGTTAAGATTTTTGACTGTTGGCTAATTGATTTACTCAGAGCAAATACAAGGGTAAAGTTTTTATTTTTTTTCCCTATCTTTTTAGCTGATATAGCCCAGAGATATAGGATAAGCAAATACCCAACTCTCAAATTGTTTCGTAATGGGATGATGATGAAGAGAGAATACAGGGGCCAGCGATCTGTGAAAGCGCTTGCAGATTACATCAGGCAACAAAAAAGTAACCCTGTTCAAGAACTTCACGACTTAGCAGAAATCACCACTCTTGATGTAAGTTGTTAATTTTTCCTGAATCAAATGAACATTGCCTGGTGTAATTAATATAAACAAATTCTCATGTAATCAAAGAATCTAGACATTCTTATGTTAATCCCAATGTATTTGACATACATATACTTAGAAAGTTGAATATTTCTTGAATTCTCAAGGGAAATGCTTATGTTTTATTTAAGTGCAGATAAAATACATAACATACAGTAAAAGTTGCACTAATTTGAATTAATTGAGGTCATGGAGAGAGCCTGAATTGTAAAGAAAAAGAAGTTAATGTCAGTTGCACATAACAAGAGTTCCCATATTTTCTTTCTTTTTTTTTTTTTTTTTTTTTAAGATTTATTTATTTATTTATATATACAAGCACTGGGTACAGTCAGAAGCATGGGAGGGTGAGAGAATTCACCAGAGCGGGGAGCAGAGCAGGCAGAAGGACTGAAGTATACTGCTGAGGGGAGCAGCGGGCAGCAGGAGAGGTCTGTGCGTCATGTAAGACCCTGCTCCGGTGGCCGGGAAGCAGCCTGGGATCGAACCAGTGCTGCAGAGGCTGCGGGCAGCTTCGCAACCAAGCGCTCAACCACTGCACCACCAGGGAGGCCCTCCCATATTTTCTTTAATGGAGTAGCTCAGTGTGCTGTGTATCCTATATCATCTCATACTCCTGTATCAGCTCTTGTTTTTTGTTTTTTTTTTTTTAAAGATTTATTTATTTATACAAGCACTGGGTACAGTCAGAAGTGCGGGAGGGTAAGAGGATTTACCAGAGCCAGAGCAGGGAACAGAACAGGCAGACTGACTGAAATGCACTGCTGAGGGGAGCAGTGGGCGTGGCAGGAGAGGTCTGCGCGCCATGTGGGACCCTCGCTGGTGGCCAGGGATAGAACCGATGCTGCAGAGGCTGCAGGCAGCTTCGCAACCCAGCGCTCAACCACTGCGCCACCAGGGGAGGCCCGATGCACAGCTCTTAACACCAGCTTGCTGCCTAACTATCACTGTCATGCCTTTGAGTACTCCTTATTCAAGAAGCAGGACATCTGTGCCCTTCAACCTATCTCATATATATGATATATACTAGTGGTTCTCAAAGTGTAAGAATCATGAACAGGCAGCATCAGCATCCCCCGGAACTCAATAGAAATAATGCAGATTCTCAGGCCTCATCCCATCTCAGCTGAGTCAGAAAATCTAAGAGTGGGATACAGAAATCAGTGTTTTTAAGAAGTCCTCAAAGTGATTCTGGTGCCCACTCAACAGAGAACCTCTGTTGGAGTTGGAAGGAAAACTGATAAAGGACTGCTTGAGGAATTGTGTGCAGATGGCAAGATATTATAGAGAACACAGAAGTGAAAGAATACCATGAAAGGTTTTATAACCTTTCATTTCTTCTAAAATACCCCCCCCTTAATAATACATTTAGCAAGCCCTTTGTACAGTATTCTTT